CGTGTGAAGGAGGCCTAAATGTACTGAATGCAAATCGCTCTTGGAAACCCATACAATACAGAGTAGATTTTCATATAAATGATATAATTGGAACAGAAAAGAACTCCAACCATAGCTAATCCTTAAGAGTAAAAACAGTCGACAAGAGTTGAACTTCCTCCTGCCTATACTCCGAGTCACAAGCCTATTAGCTTTGCTAAAAGCCCAATTATCTTGATTCATCCACAGCGTGTTCCTGTTTAGCCAGGTGTGTGATGTGCTGACTGGTGAGAAGACACTGCTTGGATGGGAGGACAGCACTCTATTTGAAAACAGTAGGAATATTCCATTAAAAGCGGTTCGGTTGGGGATTTCTGGTTTAATGGAAATTTGTTTGGCTTACGAGGCTAGATGCTTGACCCTTGAGATTGTGAGCCTGAGGTGACTGCATTCTACAAAGGGGCACAAATTGCAACGTACAGATATAATCAAACATGCTCACAATGTAAGTCAGCCAATCACAGCAAAAAAAAAAGGGCTGTCTGGGTTTGTCGTACAAAAGAGGTTGGTCCGAGTCATGTGTTTGGTGTGTACTTGTGAACAGGCCCTAGGGCAAAGTCTGCCAGAATGCAACTTTGGATTCTACCCAAAAAACCAGAGAAAGCTGAAACAAGATTATGTACTTCAATCAGGCTCCGCCAAGGACACGTCACCGCACTCAATGTCAAAACGATGCTGCTTCAAATGCTTTGACGAGTGTCGTTGATGGACGGGTGAAGTATAGGGAACGGCATCAACGGGTCCCGGGTTTATGCTTCAGAGCGGTTTTTTTTTTTTCTCAAAAAGAGTACAAGCGACTCACCATGACCATGCCAGAGAATGAACTGTCCTCTACGATGCAAAAAGCAACTGAGGTGAACAAGGGCATGACATTGGGCGTCTGAGAAGACATTCATCCGGTTAATAAGAAGGCATTCAAAGATGATTAATTGAAGGAGGGGAGGATATAAAGGGGGGAAAGTAGAGAGGGTGGGCAAGGATGTGAGACCACTAAAGAGGTGAAGAGGAAGAAAGTGGTCTGTGATGCGGGCTGAGCAGGACTGAAGGAAAGGGGCGGGCAGAGATGAAAGGAGGAAATCCTGTGACATGAAATATCTTTAACAGGGGTTGTCATATCCTCATTCCTTCTACATTCACTCTCTTTTCCGACTTCCTCTCTCCCACTCCGAGACCCATCGGAGTGTGTTAATATCCTTCAAGGTTGGGTAATTACAGCAACAAAAAACAACCTTGCTCAGCAGAAAGCGCACTCTGGTTATTATTGAGGGCTGATTGTTGACTCACCTCGTCATAATTAGGCCACTCCAATTACTTGCATGTTTCCTTCTGCTGCCTGCTTACAGCTATTAGGGTTGCTGTTCTTTCAAGTAGATGTATGCTGGGAAATACACATGCATTCAACATTGGAGGACTGTTAAAAGCTTGAAGAGAAGAAACAAGAATAAATAATAAATGTAAATGGGTTCCCAATGGTTATCCCACCTTCTCATTCTATTTCATTTTGTTTGTGAATTTTCAGAAGGAAAGAAATACCCTTTGAGGCACAACCAAATATTAACCATCGACACATGTTCAGTCTAAGGAGAACTTAAATAATGTCTCTGCAGTTTAAATCTCTTCTCCCAATCCACTTTGAGCCAAACTGCCGCTATCATGTCAAATGTATTTCCCGCAGCTGCAGCATGGGAATACTGGAACATCATATGAATCGCTGCAATGAGCCGTCTCATATTACAAAGACAAAATGCAGTGTTTTTGCAACAAGCCTTGTTTACAGAGATGCCTGGTAAGCAAGAATTTGTTTTTCCACCCCTCAGAGCATCCATATACAAACAAGACTGCTTTACACAAACCAGGCAAGAGATTTAAGAAGAGGGCATGAGCATTGCTTGGCAACAACCGACTCATTGTTAAAACAACATGAGTTAAGTGAATAAAGTGTTCTGGGTCTGTCTTGTAGCTAAAACCTTAACGAATTACAATTGGTTCTGACAGTGCGACGCGCTTTAGAGACTTATGAAAAACAATAGCCATAAATAAACAAAATGGCGAACAGAATTATGAATGTACCCAGGCCTACAATTTGAGCCTTCTGCACGTGTTTGCTGTGAGGACTGGTACCAAATGTTGCTCCAGGAGATGCTGATGTGCAAGATGAAAATCTGCTGAGCTCTCCAAAAGACTCTTCTTTAAACCCTTTGGAATTCTTCATTTAGAACACAATCACTTTGTCCCATTGGTCTCATTGTAGCAAAAACTCATATTCACTTAAGTCACTCGAACTAAGCAGTTTTGGTTCAGGATGCTACTGCAGAAAAGCCTCAATCCCCCTTGTTGTCCCGGGTCCCCGTTGGACCACCGACGCAAAGTTTTCTTTAATGAGCGTGTGTGAGTGCGTACACACGCCCTCTGAGTCCACTTCATTACGACAACCGTGTTTTCTCGCAGGGACGCCTGACGCAGCAGTACCGCTGATGTCTTCCATATCCACAGCCGTAGGGCCAATAAAGAAATGGCAAAGACAAAAGAGGAAGAGAGGTGGGAGGAGAAGCAATCTGCCCTACCTAGCCTCAGCCTACACACAGACAAAGACCAGCCACGACTTCAAAAGAGAAAAACATAGGGAAGAAATTGCAAAGCTCTCAGCTTTTCTGGAAACGGTCTCTACGGGTTAATTAGAACACCAAGTCCCACATCATCTGTCTCCGAGCTGCATACTATGAATTCACACATACATACAACTTCCCTGTGTTCCATTGAAACAACACACTCTCCACTACACACAGTTAAATCAGGCTGTGGTGGATTTGTGCACTGGTGGCAAACTAACTTCAAACATAATCACCATCTGTCGGGTCTACTCAGGCCTGTTGTGTTGTCTCTCTGTCCTGTCCACACTCAGGTTAGCTTAAGTCGGAACCTTGTGGTGAAAGTCAATCCGTCTCGCATGCAAAGGGAAAGCTTGTAGTGACATTTTGATCAGAGGTGTCAGGAACAGGCCTTCTTGCTGCAGTTGCATTCAACATGGCATAGGTCGGTGGGCTAAAAAGATATTATTTTTGGGGGGAAATCCAGATAAAATGTTCACCTGCGCAACACTCAAGAACTTAAGCTCTTTAATTCACAGAGGGAGAGTATGTGTAAGAAAAAAGGGAGGCCAGGAGCATGAAAGGTGAGTAGGAACTCTGACAATGAACATGATGGATTCAGTGGAGGGAAAAAGAAACACAGCCCCTTCTCGGCTGCAGCAATACATCACGTTTAAATGTGGAGAAGAGGCATTTGTATATACTTAAGGAGGCACATAGGTAAAAGTGAGTGGAAGAGAGAGAATGAAAGAAGAGGCGAGAGGGAGAGAGAGGATAAAAGAAATGCGTTACAGAGATAGAGAGGACAAGGATGACAGCTGGCCAGGCACTTCATGCATCTGGCAGGGCGACTCGTGGAGCCATAATGAAAATGCAGGGCGAGATCAGGATCAGTGTGTGAGAGGCCTCCATCCATCAAAGGACTCCCATTGTGGAAAGCAAGCTTCAATGATAACAGGGAAATATGTGGCTATTCTCCAGCCCAGATGGGAGCATTTCCACATTTTGTAGCTCTGACTAAAGGAATGGCCAGTATGCTATAAGTGCACGACAAAGTGTTGGTTATTCTCATGATTGAATAGGGTGTCAAGCTAGATATATTACCTTTGTTTGGGGGGGTTTTTGAGGAAGAAAAGCACATTTTAGTTTTAATGGTAGCCAAAGGTCAAGTCACCACCTGTCCTAATTGGCTGTCATGCTGATAGGGGGGATGGGCTTTGCCTTTGACAAGGGCAGTGTGTAGAACAGGGGTGTCCTCACGTTTTCCACTGAGGGCCACATACAGAAAAATAAACGAAGGGGTGGGCCACTCACTAGAGGTGAGATATACTGCCTCATAAGTTAAGTTAGGAGTTGGCAAAATCAATCAAATGTCAACTGAAAAAAACAGCCTACATCACAGCTCTCCATAGGGTTTCATTTCATTAATTTCATTTATCAAAACCGGCTGGCAGCTCATACCTTCAAACAGAAGCCTCACATAATAAGCATATAATAAGAGGAGAAGGTTATATTTCAAGCTTGTTAAGTTAATAAGTTAATGAGCTTTTTTTATCAACTAAGATTTGTTAGAAAATATTTTCAACTTTAATTGACTGACTTTATTTGAAAATGTGGCTCATGAATACTTTGAAATGTATTTATCCAAATATATTTCTGAAGTCAAATATAAGACAAGCACAAGGTTTATGTGTGGGCCATATTCCCTTAAACTTTTAAAAATGGACCACAGGCCGCAGTTGGCCCTGGGCCGTAGTTTGGACATCCCGGATGTAGATGTTTATTAGCGATAATAGTAAAGTTGCCGTTTAGGGATTTGTTGAAGTTGGGAATACCAAAAGAAGCATATGGTTGCCAAGATAAATTAACATGTTGCCAACATTAACTGCAACAAATCCTTATTTATGTTTTTCTCTCCTCCGTTCTGATCACCCCGACGACTTCCTCTTCTAATAAACGGCTAAGCTGGTCCAGTGAATTATATAAGAGGAGATGTGTTGTTCGGCATGCAAGAAATGAACCACGCCCTGACTAGAGCCAGTGTTATGCAGCTCAGACTAAAATATGTTCACAGACAGCCAGACCTGGGACACCATAGATCAGGGAGGCAGCAAAATAAATCCTGATCTGCTAACCCAGGCTGCTGCTGTGGCTGAGAAACATGACATCATAGCTGATGCCTGATAATAATGCTAAGAGAGAAATATATCTTGAGCCCCTTTCTCTTTAAAATAATAAAATGTCCCTCAGTCTTCCTTTAATGAATGCGAGTAAATAAATGCTTCTTTTACTTATAAAGACTTTTATATCAGTCAGGAGAGCAGTCATCACTTTGTTTAATTAGGATGTGGCAGCATCTAAAAAGAGACTTACCTTCTCTTTCCTCTCTCTGCAGGCCTCCTCTGCTGAGAGCAGGGTTTTGTAGTAGTTGCTGCGCTCGGCTGTGAAGTGAATCTTGGACAGAGCGCCTTCTACCAGTGCAATTGACAGATTCAAACCCTCGATGTGCAGCCAGCCAATGAAGTTTCCGGCTTTGTCCATGCTCTCCACTTCAACTTCCACCTGGAACACAAGGGAAGGAGAGGATGAAAAAGAGGACAAGTTAATGTTCTGTGTCCAAGATTAGGTTTGAGATTCAATTACAGCAATGAAGGGAAGGTGGGGGCTGGGGGACTCCTGTGAGGAGACACCACTGTTTTGAAATAGACACATCCATAGAGGCCTGTGAGCGCTGTATTGATTTGGTAGCACACACACAGATCCCACTTCACTCTTCTGTTGTGGATCTACTAATCAGTGGTGTCTAGTTTTGTCTAGAATGGCACATTCTTTTGACACAAACACCCAGAAGTGGCCTCCTGTCTTGGTGCACATAGTGCCCTTGACATTTCTAAAGAAGCACTTCAGCCAGTTTTTAATAGAAGTAACTTCTGTTTTAATTTGCAAGCCCTAAGAGTAAGTGTAGAAACCCCAGGGCCCGCACAAAAACAGTGTGAGTAGCTTTAAATTAGTGTTGCGTATGCACTTCAACCTTAATTAAGACTCTAAATATTGCCATCCTACTTTGTTTTTGTAATGTAAATCATTTGCAATTAGTGACAGCGAAGTTGCAATTCCCCTCGGGTTAACAAATGAGGGCACTGAAATAGCTAACCCTGCTGACAAAGTAGGAAAGATCTCCCAACATTTCCCACGATGGACTATAACCACATTCTGCCTATTCAGGCTAATTATCTATTCATTACATTTTGTTTCATAAGTGATGGACGACCGGGAAGCGAAGAGAAAAGAAAAATCAATCGATTTTCTTTTTTTTCCTACCCTAAAGCCTCAGTCAGCGAGAAAGTGAGAGGGCAGGTGTGCTGAAGAGATAGGAAGAAGTCAAGCGATTAAGACTCGCACTGCTCAGCCCGGCAGCCACCAGGGAAATCTGAGAGGAATTAAGTTAGTAAACTGCTCTGCCTTGTTCAGAACTGAAGTAAAACGCTTTGATTAATGAATGTATAATGGGTTCTATTATTAAGCTCAAAACTGACAACCTAGGCATATAGCAGCGACGTACATATATTCAAACTTTCTGGATCCAGTTGCCATTTATATAAGGCCAACGGCAATGTGGAAAAAGCTGAATATGTTTCCATTGTAACAACAATTAGTACTGGGGCTAGACAATATACTAATATTGAGGTTGTGAGACTAAATATTGTATTGAAGGCATAAGTGTTTGCTACAGTAAAGCAGAGCAGTTTTTTAATGTTTTGGCTTTAAGGACAAGGTCATTATATCCCATTACTGATGATTTATCAAACATCTCACCAATAGCACCCATAGGAAACCCTACAGTATGTTCACAATATCAATATCAATTATTTGGTCAAAAATAATGTGATATTTGATATGCTCAATATCACACTTCTTGGTATAATGGCACATATACAGTATGCAGCATGGCTACAAAAAAAAACGTCTGATTTGTCATGTAAGAAAAGTAGTGGTTTTCAAAAAAAATAAAATGTAATTGCTTTATTAATAAGTATTGTTGTTTTCCCTGACGTGCAAAAGGAACTGTAAAGGCTTCGTATACCCGCCTTTCTCTGACTCTCCTTCTCTTTCCCTCACTGCTTTCTCAGATACTCAGCCCATTTCATCTCTCTTTGTCTCTAAGTGCAGAAGTGGTTATATAACTAGGCTATTAGAGCTGCACTGGTCCTGAGAGCACCCAAATGTCAAAAGTGGGCGAGAGTTTGAAAAAAGCTAGAATGTCTGGAACCAACTTAACTGTCACCAACTACCACGCAGGCAGACAATTCAAAACACACAGCTACACACAATACTCAGAAAAATGCCAATATAAAAATGTTATGTAAAAAATAATGACAACATCGTTTGCACATTGAAAGCCCAAATACCCTAAAAAATGCAAAGATAATTATATCTCTCTTTGTAGAACAAGTGGGATATTTCTGACCTCTGATCAGCCTTTTGTTTAGCATGCAAGGGCTAACAACCATTCACTAGGTGATAATTGTCGACACCATGGCAACTAGAAATGGAATCATAGATTATAGGGGAAAGTATGTCAAATGTTTGCTTTCATATTGAAGATAATTTACGATCCTTCTGAAATCATTTTAGAGATTTCATTGTTGGTGCAGAAGCTATCTTGAGGTCAAGGCAATATTCTTCCTCTCTATATGTGTGCGTTTGCTTGAGGAAAATAGAATTGTCCTGTACCAACTAGATAAATGTGATGAATGTCACAACCATACGGAGAAATCACCCAGCAGGACAAGTCCTATCAATCACACTTTATGGGGTCAGATGTAAACATGTGACAGCCAGAGATGACAAGAGAGGGGTAAAGAATAGTTCAAGTTAAATTATTGCCATCACAGACGTGTTTCGATCATAATCAAACAAATTTGTATTTTTTCCCCCAGACCACTTAACGGGAAAACCTCATTTACCACATACTGCCAACCAGCACATTATGACTAGAGGGGTAGCGTGTGTGCACACAGCATTAATAATAACAGAGAGGCCTACTGAGGGATGTCAGTAATATACTGGAAAACCAAATGAAATGACATGATTGACAAATGGTAGCATGGTCATAGAGAGGGCAGATGCTAAATTAAAAAGGACAAATTCATTCATAAAAAGAAAGTGGATGCCCAATTTTTCACTGGCAGAATAACATCAATGATCCATGAGAGTATTGCAGATTGATACTAGTGTGTGATAACAGATATGTAGCTATGACGTGTCTTGATTCCTATTCTGGTTATACATTGTAAGATAAAGGATACATTATTAAAGCGCACTGCTACGATCTATAGAATAAATGATAGGTCAAGGAAATAGTCAATAGATGTATCAAATTAACTCAATTAAGGGTTATTTCAACCCATGACCATCTTTTATACACATCACAACTGGCTATTTCTTTGGCATCTATGGTTACTTTTAGCATCTATTTATGAACACACATTTTTTTTGTATTTAAATGTTATATCCTGTAAAATGTGTAAATATGTATAATGACATTTAATTGAAATCATGCAGTGAATTGTCATTGCTGCTACCTCTGCCATTATCACTTTTATTTCTTTGTGTTTATTTGTATTGCAATGAGAGAGCACAACTCATGAATTAGATCTGAAGACAGAATTTCAGAGTTGTATAAAAACCCACACATGGATTTTAGTTCCTCTGCCCTTTAAAGTAAATAGCTTTGGTCACAACGTGGAGGGGACAGGGGAGGCGGAGTGGAAACTGCTTTGAGTAGAGCCCAGATGGTTCCCAGTGGAGGCTTCCTCCGAGCCAAAATGGCTCCCGCCGGAACACAAATGGGCTCTGGTAATCTCATAAACGCTGGGATTGTGTCGACACAGTGGACGGATAAGAGAAAAAGGCAGAGTACGCATACACACAAAGCCATGCACATGTGCGTGCAGGCACATACACATGTACAGCCATAACGAGTACAAAAGACAAAGGCATTTGGTGCCATTGAAGTGAAACCTGGCCCGGGGGCATGTTTTAAAACTGCAGCAGATTTAATTCACTTAGCCGTTTGAAAGTGAACAAAAAAATAAGACTGCGAAAGTGTCGCGTCATGTCAGAGCCAAACCCTGCACTAAAAGAAAATTAAACAAGACGGTGGGCTGGCAATTAAAAAATTGGCAAGCAGTGGGATTTTCTTTTATCACCACAAACAAACAAATGCGATTTTGAGTACCTGTAGGGAAAAAAGCTAATACATAAAAAACAAAAGGTTACCAAGAGCAGGGTGTGTCCATTGGTGAGTCCAAAACCCCAGGAGGTCTAACCTGGCACATGCTAGAGGATCAATTCAAGCATTGCTTTATGCATACAGCCTTGGCTACATCTCATCGGGAGAAAGGAGCATATACATAATGCAAGGCGCAGAGAAGATTAATCTGTCAGTCAGGGCTTTCAATCATCACTGACGGTAACTCTGCCACTATTTAAATCTGAATTTTACAGCATATTCCAATTACCGAGATCACCATAGAGAGTTAGGTTTGCGTGGTGCAAATTACCAGTACTAGTCGTAAAAGTTTAAATGCAGAGACGGGGGGTAAACACAGAGAGTACTTCTGGCTGTGGGTAGGCGAGGGAGAAAGTGTTTGTGTGGTTGCTTGTCAAAGACGGCCCTGCAATGTGCGGATGCAAGCAGTGAACACCGGGGAAACAGACTGGCAGGTGGAGACGTTTTGGCATGTCTGCATTCATTCTCATTAGGCAACAAGGAGGCAGCTGCTTTTACGACTCCTGTACTCTGCCACTTAGTCTGGCTCTCTCAAATACTTGTGTGTATGAATTCACAGTGGATATATCAATAGTTTTTAAGTCAAATGATGCCGGGGATAATATTTATGTGGGTGTGTTTGCGCCTCCTTGAGTGTATTCGAGTGTTACGGGATGAAGTGTTCTTTGCATTAGTAATATGGGTGCGTGTGTGTATGAATATATCGTATGGCAGCGCACTCGGCTGATAAGACAAGGTAAAGTGAGGCCGAAACAACTTTCTGTAACAGAGAGTTCAAGCAACACTCTTTCCTCTCTATCTCCGTCATATTATCTGCTCGTCTCTCTAATCACCGTGACTCAGAGAAAACAAACCAGGCAGGCACAGAGACGGAAAGAAAGTCAGACAAAAAAAAGACCGAAAGAAACTCGAGTCACTCGCACCTATAGCCCTTTGCTCATCCAGCAGAATAAGCCATTCATCAAACTGAGCCTTGGAGAAGATTGAAGAAGTGATGTGGAGGTGTGCAGTGTGTGTGCAGTGTGTGTGTGTGTGTGTGCTCCTTTGTGTGCTCGGGCAAAGAGATCAAACCTCCTTTAAGCACTGAATGATCCCAAAGCCTAGAGGTGCAAAGGGGGGAGAAAATGGGGTAAAAAGAGAGAGCAATCAGGTACTCTCTATACCTTAATTCATATTCAAAGTCTCCTCTATTCACTTAAAAAAAAAATCAATGGCTCTGGACACTTAATTCAGAGTCATGAATGTGGCATGAAGAGGACAGTTTGTC